CAGAACACCATGCTGCCCAGGCGGCATTGATGACCATTGATACAGTGATTCATTTGAAGAAGTCGAAGCGGTTTCTGGATGCTCACCTGCCAGAAATCACAGCAGCCATGCGCACGTGCACGCCTGCTGCTCCTTTGTCCGAGGATCACTTGGCTCAGCTGCGCACTCGCAAAATCGAAAATTGCAAGAAAGAACTAACCACGGACTTGTTCAAGCATGGTCACGTCATTGGAATGTATTGGGAGAACATTGCTCGCAGCATGGTGGAACGGGCAAATCGAGATGCGCAAGACCTGGATGTGCCGTTATTTTGTTTGCAAGCTGCTGACCAAAGGCATTCCAGAAAAAATAAAGCCATAGACAAGCTGTTCCAAACCCGCATCGCACTGGCAAATTGCAAGGCATGCTACTGGTGCACGAGAACATGGTTGTGCGACTGGCGGATGTCTTGGCTCCACACCTTGGATTGGTTAAAGACAAACTGGCAGTGGTAGTGAAAGTGGATTTGCACCATGAAGATCAGAAGCGCCTGGACCGTCGGGAACCTGGATTCTGTCATTTGTTTTCCGGACTACATGGCCAAAGGTATCTGGGTGAAATTACTTAAAGGAAAGAATTCGCCCATGGAAGATGCTCTGTCGCAGACGTGGGAAGAAAAGTTTCAGAATGTGGCCGATCACACAACTGACGCAAAGACATTGTTCTTTGTGGAATTGGTGCATGCAGAGTTCAAAATTGATTTGAAGCTAGGCGAGGAAACCGAGAAAATTGAAGTGATTCGCTGGCAGTTTCCTCTTTAGCATGGCATGCTGCGCACTGCTTACAGCGCGCAAGGCTTGACTTTGGACGGAGGTGTGCTGGTTGATTTGCGTCGTGGTGGTGGCCTAGAGGATGCCGACTGGTGGCTAGCCATCTATGTCATGCTGACGCGTGCCCGCAAACTGAAGAATCTCATCTTGCTGGGGTTCACGGAGCAAGTGGAGGAGCTTTTACGCAGAGGCCCTCCTACCTACTTGCGAGAACTGACTGACAAGTTGGAAAACAAAGCTGCTTCGACGCTGGAGCGGCTGCAGTCCTGGCCTGTCTATGATGCATTGCAAGCATCCTGACACAGTGCTCTGCCAGTGGGACCTAATCGGTTTTGACTGAAGAGGTCCGGGGGAGGCATAGGCCTGACACGTTGCTCTACCTGTGGGACCTATCGGTTTTGATTGAAGAGGTCTGGTGGAGGAATAGAGAGTTGCAGCTGCAGCGATCTGGTGAAGTAACACTGGCATGGTTTTGTCTAGTTTACACACGAGCTTGCGAGCTTTTGACTTTGGTTCAGGTGGTCCACTGGCTTGTTTCAGTCATGTTTTTACAAACATGTTTGACAGGCGGTGTGCTGACATGTTTGGGCATGTTTGTTTGTTTGGCTCAGGTGGTCCACTGGCCTGTTTGGTCATGTTTAAGCAAACCTGTTGAGAGCTCTGGAGTTTACTTCACATGGCCCACTGACATGTTTATGTCCTGTTTGACAGACTGACATGCACAATGACCTGCCAGGTGAAACAAATGATTGGGATAGTTAGTTGGGCAAAAGTCCCGTGACAAAAGCTTCAGACAAAAGTGGTGTCAACAAGCTGTTTTGAAATGTCATGGTGGGGATCACTCGAAGCAAAGTAATTTTTTTAAATCAAACATGGCACATGTCACCAAGTTGCTCAGCCTCACTCTCAAACGAAAACCTCTCCTACCCATCCTGGCGGTCGCTCCGAAGTGTCCAATCCATGGATTGGGCCTGGGGATCCAATATAATGTAAACCCTGGAGTTTAATCGTGGTGGTACCACTTATATGTACCCATTTTATGAATCATATTGCGGCTATTTGGAGGCTACCCGGCTACCCCCAGGTCAATGAGCACTGCTGAAAAATGAACGATGCAACTTTTCAGATGCTAACCCAATGAAAAGACAATCAAGCATCCTGCTAGTACATATTTGATTAATTCAGACAGTTTTCCGCCTATGGCCCCCCGAGGGTAATAAAACCAATTCAATAATAACAAATCAAGCGATGGTCTTCAATATTATGAAGATGCGACTATACTATTGACTATACGGCTGGCAACCAACCTGGAACATCAGAGCCTCAACACATCACATTTCAGTTCGGCCGGGTATACGGGAGAACAAAAACAACAACGGTTTTTAGAAGCCACAACGATCCATGATGGCAACATTTCAAGGTGTGATTATCTGAGAAGCGCACAGCCACTGATCATTCATGATTTGACATAATAGTAAGCACCAAACTTCCGAAAAGTCTGTCACCAGGATGGCAGCTCAATGATTTCACCACATAATATACATACATATTAATGTATGTATATTATTATATAATGCACATTTGTATATATTTGTAGTTTCCCACTATCTATCTATATGGAGGAAATATGGAAATAATGCCAAGCACATAACAGACCAATGGATAATTCTAGGGCTACACTATTTTCAAACCAAACCATTGGATTTCGGCCTTGCTTTTTATACAGGGATGGCCCAGATGGAAACGGCCTTTGGCTTGAGAAACTCTGGCACTGAAGCGTCCGACTGAGCGCTTTCCCTAGGAGCGTACAGTGGCCGGGGTGAGCCGGGAAACCCCGCTGAAATGGAGAAATCACGTCACTCAGGGTTTAGACCATCCCCCCCCATAAAAAACAACTAGATGGAAAAGCGGAAAACCTGGATGAGATAAGTGAATCATAGTGAATCTATATGTCTATCCTGGTGGTACACTTTTTGGAATCTTGTTGGGGCTTATAACTTATAGATCATCCCAAACGAACATATCCAAAACCCGCATCATCCTCCAGGTTTTCAACTTAAGCCATGACGACTTGAAGGCAAAAACATATCAGCAACGGACATTTCAAGGACCTGATGATCCTGATGCTTGCCCGACTCATTTTCAACAGGTGCTGCTGAGATGTTTCCCCGACTAGCCGACCTGACTCATCTGCTGAGGTCCGCCCCTTTCGCTGCTGTCCCTTGAGATTTACGTCCTATTTTCGTGGTCAGTATATATAGATGGGATATGTCCTAAAAACTCTACGTCTTGGATCGTTTTGGACCCCATCCCACCTCACCACAGTTTGAAACTACAATCGTCAAAACAACAAATCATGACATCATATAAATAATCAGACACTTGACCCTGATCACTCTGATCTAACTCCAAGTTCACCCCACCAAGGCTGAACCCTCCATGATAAACGCTTCAGATTTGCCCCCCCTTGCATCTTGTGAAAGGTTGTTGCTACAGTAGATGTTGCTCGTTGAAATTCGCCCTTCATAAAACTTTATCTTTTAAGGGGTATACTGATTGGTGAAGGTTATGACATTACACCCCCATGGTTGGTTTTATGCCGTCGTTGTTGCTGGTTCAGAATGTTAAACCCACGGTCTATAGCCATGTACAGGGTACATGGCTAACCCCCCATGAAAACATCACCAGTAATATAGTAGCATTAATATGCATTAATCATGAATTGAGTTGGCTGTATTTCCCATTATCATCAATCATCCCATTCATATGTCGTTTGTGGTTTAATCACCACTGACAACTGCCCAGCGGCTGTCGTGGTGGCATACTGGAGAAGTCTCTAACGTCAGCGTTCGCTACCGGTGGAGTCGCTACCGGCAGAGCATGCGATGGAATCCTGGCAAATGCAGAAGGTCTAGCCATGGAAGTTTGTTGCCCTCAGGTAATTTAACACTTTGCTGTGGCAAAAAGCCCATTGAGTTCGATGATTTATAACTTATTTACCCTCTGGTAATGACTAACATAGCTATTGAAAATGGCCATTTATAGTGGATTTTCCCATTAAAAATGGTGATTTTCCATAGTTACGTTAGTTTACCGGAGGGTAGCAAGATTTAGCAATTGTGATTTTCCGTGGCTATGTGAAATTTGCTAGAGGGTAATTGACTAATAACTGGGCTATACAGGTGATGATTTCCTATACTTAGATGTGCCATGGTGTCAAACACTGTAATTGGTTCAGTGGGTTACAACCCATGAAACTGCGAGGGTTGTGTTTTCCTGGTTTATGGCACTTCATAACCGCAGAAAACGGGACGTTATGGAACTACATTGTCAAACATGGTCAAACAACTGCAATGTCTTCGAACTTCATGGCATTTCATGGCCAAAAAACATCAAAAAACCAGGGTGTCTTTGAATTTCATGATCAGAACCAAAATGGCTGTCTGCGTTTTGAAGCAACCGCGTTGAAACCGAGCAATGTCCAAAAAACAAACGCCTCTACGGGGCTACGGGGCCAAGTCACGTGTCAATGAGTTGCTGGATCTTCTCTTCCTGGCCAGGTATTGAAGCCCAATTTTGTTGAAAAACACATATACATATAATTTCTCTATATATATATATATATATATACATATGATTATATATGCATGTATCATAACATATTATATGATATTGATAAATTTACATTAAACATATACAATTATATTAATGTATACTATTTGTTTACACAGTTTTAACAATAAATAAATATTTACATTGGTTTTCTGCCATTGAGCACAAACAGACTTGCCCTCCAAATCTCACCATGTCACCGCCGGCCAGTTAGAGGCCGGATGAGGCCGGCCGGCCGGTTGAACCTTTTTTTTTCCGATTCACTTAAGAGCAATATTGAAATATGTAAAAAAAAACTCAAGAAAGTCTAAGTTGAGAGGACGATTCCCTCAAACTATCACTCATGAAATTGCTATTCTTGCCCTTGCTTAGAGGAATTTTGTATTTTTTTTCCAGCCATTTTTTGGATTTGTTGTCAAAAACATAAAAAACACTCGTTTTGCCATGAGGGGGGATATTTGTTTTTCTCGTTTTTCTGCTCCCGCATATCTTTGGCTTCAGTTTGCTGTTGCAGAGTTACTGATACTGGCTGCTTCGGCCATAATCAGAGAAAGGCTGCTTCGGCCTTTTTCACGAGTTATGTTGCTGAAATCGGCAGCTGCTAAATGGGAGCGGCTGCGAGAACAGTGGCAAAGCCGTTTCCCATTGAACCCAGAGGATCCTTCTGCAGGTTCTTGGCTGCAAGCTCGCAACTCTCCATGGGGGGTGGGGTGCAAAGCATGCCACGAATGCGGTTGCGAGTCCAGCTTCGCGTCGTTTGGGGTTAAGACAGAAGCAGGGCTGCAGCTGGTGAATTTCCAGAAGCATGCCAACAACATGCGCCACAAAGCCGCTGTGGAGAGTTATTTGCTGGGGGACTTAGATGCTGCAGGCATCAACAGCGCGCCCAGCAAAACCGAGTTCCTGGATATTTTGGGTAGGATTCAAAAAGGGCAGCCCACGTGCACCCAGAGAAAGGAGAAGTGCATGACATGGTGTTTAGCTGAAGCAATGAAAACTTTGGATCACAGGACCTTGGAGAAAGCATCTGCTATAGGCTTGTACCGGGACGAGCGCAATGGCCGTGTGCTCGTACGTTGTCGTGCTGTTTCTGAAAGCTTGGAGGTTTGCTCTTTTGTCCTGGGCCAGGAACGCTTTGGTGGAACAGGAGCTAGGAATTTGACAACAGCAACAGCATCGATCTTCAAGCGTGCTTGCACAAAGTATGTGGCCCCACCTGGCAAAGAAGGAGTACTGAGCGAGTTGAATGATGCCCTGCATGAGCACTTGAGAACAAGCGTCACTGCAATCACCACAGATGCTGCAGCAGACGAGACTCTCTCGGGTGAACTCATGAGGTCAACTGTCGCAGGCATTCGGGAGCTGACACCAAACTTGAAATGGGTTCTGCGAGACAAATGCCACGCTTCTAGAAGAATAACCAGTCGGCCTTGGCACGCAGACGCTTTTCTTCAAGAAACTCTGAAATACATGGCTGGTGGCAGGGGATCTGTGGCGAGGCTTCTACAACACAGTTCGGAAGTCCAGAGGATTTTCTCAAGCTTCGCACAGGATTCAGACGTTGCCTTGGCTAAAGTTGTTTCAAACTTTAGGTCAGCTCAGCATCGGTTTGAGTCGTATGCTAAGCCCTTGGGCAGATCTTGCCTGTACCTTCACGCGGCCATCCGCACTTGCTTGCATCTGGCGAAGGCGCGGCAGGATGCCACAGGGAAGCAGGCGCAAAACTGGCTTACATGGATCACTTCGGAGCGTGCGCTGCAAGCGGCCATGTTGGCCGACGCGTCAGATGCAAGCCTTGCTTTGACAAGACTGTTTGATCAAGAGTGCATGGATCCTGCCATGATCAGGACAGAACTGATTGCTTACAGAAGGCAAATCCGGGCTCTATTTGTGAAAGGGGAATGTTTTAGCTGCTTCGGCTATACCAAAACCATGGCAGACCTTTTGTCGGAGCCCATTGTGTTCCAGGCCAAAGATCAAACTAAGTCTCTCGGCGAGACTGGCGGTGTAGCAGCAAGCATTAAGGACTCTTGCTTGCACAGAATGCAGGCTTGGGTCAAGCTGGCTGAATCGGCCATTGAAGCAGAGTTTCCTTGCTTCGAACTTGCCCAAGTTTCTCGGCAGTATTTTTTGGGGGGTGGCGTTTTTTTTTGAATTTGGCCAACGAATAGTAAGTATTTAAACATGCAGTGTGATGTTAAGATGTTTCATGTTTCACAGTCAAGGCAATGACCGTCTTCGACCTTGAGCATCCCACTGACAATGCAGAGGAGTGTCTTACACGGATTGCCACTGCTTGTGGACTTGACAAAGGCCTTCTGGTTGCACAATGGGAAGATGTGTACAGTCGCGCGCAAGTGCACTATAGCAGAGCTTCTTCCCAAAACGAGAACCGAGCAGCTTGGTGCCGTGCCTTGCGCCTCCTGAAGCAGCACATAGCGACAAAGAAGGCTCATCCAACACATGTTTTGGAGAAAGCTTTGCTTCACTATTTCGTTTTTGGTGGCTCATCCAGTGGCGTGGAACAGAACTTCAGCAAAACAGCTTGGTCAATTTATTCCCGAAGACATTTTGCCACAGGTGAGTCAGAAGAGTTTGTGGCAAAGGTTGTTTTGGATAGCCATTTGTACGATGAGACAGAGTTGGTTCACCTTGCTCGTTTGGCATGGCGAATGTGCTACGGACAACCACGACGACATGTGGACGCAAGAGTTGACAAAGGCGTGAAGAGAAAATTGAACGATGATCTCATTGCTGGAAAGTGTCAAAGTGAAGCTTCTTTCATCAGAAGGCGGCGAGCGGCTGCTGCGGCTGCTGCTGCCACACAGTCTCTTGATGAGGAAATTGCTGGGGTCTTGCCGGCATGGACACAACAGCACGAAGCAGAAAAACAGTTTCAAAAACGCAAGCAGCATTTGCGACAAGTACAGGCGATGGCTGAAAAGAGTTTGCTTCCGTCTGAGATGAGTTCACAACTTCAGGCTGAGGTTGACATCTGCCGCAAGAATCTGCAGAAAAATGAAGAAGCCCGGGAAAAGAAACGCGCAAGGCTGCAAACTTTTGATTCACAAACTGTTGCCGATGTCGTGTCCCAAATTGGCTCCGGCAAGGTTTATTTACATGCGGCTGCTTCGGCCACGGCTGCTGCTTCGGCAGAAAGTGATCTGAATGTCCATGGTCTTCGCCGAACCCTCATTGCAAAGGAAGCATCTGCGATCCTTTGCGACATTCCCGGTGGCATTTCAGATTCACGGATCAAGCTGATATCGGCTCTGAACGGTTGCTTTGAATGCTCATATTCTTTCTTTTCTTCAGGACAGGGTGCGGTCGTGAAGTGGAAAGCAGCTGCATTTTCTCAGAGAGCAGTGCTGGCGTCTGTGCAATGCGCAACGCAGAACGCAGCATTCTGGTCCTTTCTTCGCGCCAACCTTCCAGACAACCATGCATGGGTACTTCACAAAACAGCTGTCCAGAACTTGAAGGCTACCCAGTTGCAATACAAAGCAGGCGTTGCTTACATCGTTGTTACGGAGGATGAAGTTCAACATGCTGCATTGTCGGGCGCCAAGAATGTGCTCACTGTGCCTTGCTTGCTTCACAAGATTTCAAAGATGGATCCTGCACAGTCTTTAACGGGGCTTCGCAAACAGCAAAGGGGTTAATCACCAGACCAGCAAAGTCTGTCAGACACGCGGGGATAGGAAAAAAGAGATGCTGCCTTTTTGTGTGGACCATGTCACAGGAAACATTGTTATTTCTTGTCTTGAGGTAATATACTTATGACTTGTCGGGTTGATTCTTACAGTCGCCATCGTCCTCACATGGCTCCAGGGTCTCACGCGCTGTTTCTGCGGTCGGCTGGCTCGGCCGTGTATTTGGCTGCTTCGGCCAAGAAAATATAGAATAGCAATGGTTGAAGAGCTTGCCAGTTTCCGAACACCAAAGAAAATTTTGGTTGGAAGTGATTTTTCTGGTTTGGATAGTGCTTGGTTTGCTTTACAACGATTGGACTTACCTGTGGAATTGCAATTCTGCAGCGACAGTGATGAAAAGTGCAAGGCATTGATTCAAGGCATCCATAGACCGAAGCGTTTCCATGATGACGTGATCAAGCGCAAACCTGGAGAAGAGCTACCTGTCCATCTCTATATCTTCACGCCTCCTTGTCAATCATTTAGCTGCCAAGGAAAACGCGCAGGGATCCAAGACGCGCGCGGTCGCGCCATGAAGGGTTCTTTTGGTTACATCAAAAGACGGCGGCCTCGTGTGGTGCTATTTGAGAACGTTCCAGGCATCTCGGAAAAAAAACACAAACCTGTGCTTTGTGGAATGCACAAGGCTTTGAAGAAATTGGGATACATCATGTGGCTCAAGACTCTGGATAGCTCAAATTTCAAAGTGCCACAAATGCGTCGACGGGTCTTCCTGGTTTCCATTTTGAAGACAAGCTTGCGCAGAAAGTTTAAATGGCCCAAAGGACAAGGCAAAAAGACTTTGTCTTCAGTTCTCGACCCAGCCAAGGAAAGTGACAAAGCTGGCAGGTTGCCCAGAAACCAGAATGCTGCACGCATGGCCAAACTTGCGTACAGCAAAGTGTGGGCCGAAGGAATCGACGCAAGAAAGCAACTCGTTGCTGTAGATGTGGGCTGCACTGAGAAGTATTTGACCTTTGGAGTCGATATATGCCGTACATTGAGCCGAACACGAGCAGCCACAGGAGGTTTCTGGCTGAGTACTTTGGGCCGCAAGATGTCCGTGACTGAAATTGTTCGTGTCAACGGAATGTTGGCAAAAGAGGTAGAAGGTTGCTTTGACTATGTGTCGGAGAAAGACCTTTGTAAAATGATAGGCAATAGCGTTCCCGTGCCACTGATTGGAGAAATCCTCCAGGAAGCCATGTTTGCCGCAGGGTTGATCAGCGTGAAAAAACAATTTCCTTGCTAGTCGGTTTCAGCTGGACTGGCTGCATCGGCCAGCCTGGCTGCATGGACCAGCTGGGCTGCTTCGGCCACAGTCTAATTAGTCATCATCACGCTTGACATGGGGCCGCGTGAAAGAAAAGACGGTGCTTGCGTCTCCTTGGTCCTTTACATAGGTTTGCAACTTAACTGCTCTGAGTCATCCTGGCCTGACCCTGTTAAGCATTCTGCATGTCACTTACCAGATAATACGCAGTCCCTGGTTCCTTCTAATACATTCGATTCTCTCTGTGTCTTTGGGCCCAAGAAGTAAACAGTATGGCGGCCACAATGCCAAATGATGCTGCTTTTTTGGATTACGCGCACAAGACGCGCTCCTTTTTGAAAGAGCAGCCGGCCCGAGTGTTTGGAGTTCACGATCTGGACAGTGCTATCGAGTGCACCAGAAATGCATTGTTTTGGTGCTTTTCTCATTTGACTGATGAGAAGGAGATGAGCGATGAAAGGGCAGGGCAGATCATGATAGCTTTGGACATCCTGACTACCATTCGTTTACTTCCCATGGACAAGTACCCAAGCAGCCGCCTCATGACCGCAATGCCACAGATGTCACCGGGGCAACGGCGCGTTCCTTTGACTGACTTCACCAAAAAAGAATTTCAAGTGGCGATCCGGCTCATCAGCGTTTTGGAATATGTGCCAGATGAGTTTAGCAATTTCACTTGGTCCAAAATGCGGGAGGAATGGTTTGAAGACATGTTCAAAAAGGTTCAAGCTTCTGTGCGCTGAGTGCTTGTGGTCTTCAGAGGCTGTTTCGGCTTCAGGGGCTGTTTCGGCTTCAGGGGCTGTGGACGGTCGAGGCTGTTTCGGCTTCAGAGGCTGTTTCGGCATCAGAGGCTGTTTCGGCTTCTATCTAACTTTGTCAGGGCGTTTAATAGGATTTTATCGCCCGCTGCTTCCGCTTGGCAGACGCGCGGCTCTGTTGATTTATTTTTTCCCCTACAGGGCTGCTTCAGCCGGAGCAACGACCAGTAGAACCGGAAGAAAAGGAAGGGTGTGCTGGGGATGTCCCCGAACAGGTGTAGAAATTGTCACTACAATGGGTTATACCGTAACTCTGCATAGTAAATTGACTTTACAAGTTTTTGATATATATATATAAATATATATATATAAATATATATATATAATCAACGCATGGATGAAATTGAAATATACTTCTGTATGTGTTTGAATACAATGAAACTTGCAAAAAGCACCAAAAAAGTGTATCATATATCGAGTGCATCCAAAGTGCATCAAAATCACATGGACCAACGTTAGGTCAACTAACTTCCTAATGAAATTCAAAAAATATAAGTAGAGTGCGCTCACTTATGCGAAAATTTCTGCGACTGCATTTGCTTACCTTGGGAGGGTGGTCGGTTCACTTTGGGTCACGGGTAGTGTGTAAGAAGAGGGCGGCCGGACCTCTCCTTACGCAGCTTGGGCGCGTCCCCGAACTGTGTAAGGAGCAGTCAAAGAGAGGGCGAAACAAAAATTCCGCTACGCGAGTTGGTTTTTTGACCACCTGCCCTCTTTTTGCCGCTCCTTAGGCAGGTTGGGCGCGTCCCCGAACTGTGTAAGGAGAGGGCGGACTGACCTCTCCTTACACAGTGTCCCGGAATGTCCCGGACACTTAGTGGTCTGTAGCGGTACTGCCCGCCTGAGCCCGGGAGATTCATACACTTATATAATTTTCCCACCACCAACGAAAGCAATTTTCGGATCGACTACCCGTCAACTTACATTAAAAATCTGGATCAAATTTTGAATTGACGATATTTTTCAAATCTTGATCAAAGTCACTGAGTTTGAGACATGCATTTGCTTGTGATGTCTGGATGAACTAAACTGCACTCTGGATGCCCTTCCGCTATTTTCCACTTTCTCAAAATGAATGATTACCCCCCGAAGAAAGCACAAATTGTCGCAAAGTCATCCCGATTAGTATATCTGTATATATAGCTCAGTACGTTGATTCTCCGAAGCCATTTCCACTTCAAGCCTCGCGTGTGACTCCCGGCTGTTTCGGCCGGTGTATCCAGCTGTTTCGGCTGGGAAGCTGCTGGCTGTTTCGGCCGAGTATGGTGCTGATTCTGGATTGTGGTGGGGTCCTGTCAGACAGGCAGACAAAACTTCCCCCCCCCAACGTCAATCTCCACCAAACCGCTGTGGATGGAGCTTACCCTTTCGTTCATTGCTTCATACGCAAATATGGCGAAAAGGAGCTGGTGATACTGAGCCGGGTAAACAACCCGAAGCCTTGGCACTGGGTGGAAAGATTTGCCGAGGCACTTGGCATTTCTCGCAGCCGTGTGTACTTGGTCTCCGACATCCAAGACAAAGGACCGAAGAGTGTCGAACTGGAGTGCACGTGCTTCGTAGAAGACAGAACTGACGGAGCGTGGTATATTGCCACTGCTAACGCGCACACTGGCAATCTTCAGAAGGGATACTTGTTTGGTAAAGTCGGAAGAGCCACCGGTCACTCCTGGGATCAGTGGTTTCGGCGCAAGGTGCAGGAAATCCCCGACAGGGATTGGAAAAAGGTGGCTGTTGATTTGGACTGCTACCCGGGAGATGATGTGTGGGACTACCTGTGTGAGCATGGCCCCCCACGTCAAGCACATGCAGCCACTCGCCTCGACATGGCATGGAGAAAGCAGCCGAAATGGCGGGTCAAAGAGCAGCTTCCAGAAGAAGCAGCAAACAAGGACAAAACAAAGCAAGTCAGCCCCCCAAAAAAGGAAGATGCTCAGGAGACCCATGACAATAGCGCAGATGCAGCTGCAGCCCAGCAAGACACAGTCGCAGTTGACTACGGTGCGTCCAGCAGCGTCAGCAGCGAGTCTGAAAGTGATGACAATGATGATTCTCAGTCTCAGGACGCTTCCACCAAAGCCAAGACAGAAGATGGAAGGAAGTTAGAGACAGAGGAGAAGGGCAGCAAGCCACAGAACAAAATGAAACCTATGTCGGCTGATTCGCCCGAAGGAGTACAAAAAAACAAAGCAAGTCCTCCCACGGCGGCTGCTTCGGCTGCAACAAAAACAACGGGGGCAGAGACAGATGCCAAAGCGGCTCTTTCGGCCGTCAAATCAGAAAGCGAGGTGGACCGGCAGCCCCCACCTGCTTTGACGCTGACTCGAGGTCCTGCGGCGAGAAGCCATCGAGACGATGGCCCCTTAGATTCGTCACCCACTTTGAAAAGCAGAGATGAAAGGCTGGAAGAGAAAGTGTCCGCGTTAGAAGAAAAGGTGGCCCGCCTGACAGAAGCTGCATCTTCCAGCAGCAACACACCCGGTGCGTTCCTGCCAAAGACAAATTGGGGCGGCGGCGGGCACCGGCCCACCAGTGGTTGGACTGAAAGAAAAATTGAAAGGACTCGCCGATATAAAAGCGGAGAGATGCAGAAAGCCAAGGCGAACCAAACCATCCGTGTGGTGATGTGTGGCATATGTTCCAAAAATCAACCTGGAACATATTGCAAAACTATGTCTTGCCGAAAATGTTGCAAAGACTCGGGGTGCCCACAGCACGCGTAGACGGGAAACTGATTGCGGCTGCTTCGGCTGCGTTGATTTGCGGCTGCTTCGGCCGCTTAGATGCAACCGCTGCTTGCTGACCAAAGCAGCTGCTTTTTGAATTCCCTTTGCCAAACAGGGAAATGCTTATCTGAGAAAAAAGGTAAGCGGCCGTTGAAGCGTGAATTTGTTTTTTCCCAACCCAACAGGTGAAGAACATACACTTTAATTTTCAAAAAACGTTGGATTCATGAACCCCCACCATGATTCACTCTCTGCATGCATTAAAATAGTATATGTATGCATGCATGTATGTAAAATAAATATATATATATACACATATACACACACATATATATATATATAAAGAATAAACAATAATAAAATGTATTATTATAATTGCCTCTGTTTGTTGTTCACATGCCTTTGAAATGAAATGAGGAGCAAACTGATCAAACCCATTGAACCAATTCGATGTCATTTCTTCAAGAACGTTGTCTGTCTATGTTTGCGGCTCTCAGCTTTGTGGGCTAACACTCTGTGCAGCTGATCCAGCTGTGTTTTGCACTAGCTCTTCAAACTTTGCCTGCTGCATTTTCATTGCAGCTGCTTCGGCTGCTCGGCCAGGCTTGGCTGCTGCGGCCATGGCACCCAGAAAAAAAAACCAAGCCAAGAAGAAAGCGAGAACGTAGTCAGAGATTGCAGATGATCCTGGTTTTGTGTCGGAGCATCTCATCAAAGTCCACGATGCCTTGAAAGTTATCAGAGAACACCCTGTGTTCAAAGATCTGGAAAGCGCCAAGCCGCTGTCCTTGGCACAAGGCAGCACTCAAGCGCCATTTGACTTGCAAGCTGCCAAGCGAGCTGTGGGAAGCGAAGCCGGTTGCTACAAGTGCGGATGCAATTTTATGTGGCAGGACATAGTGTGGATGGCCACACATCGTGTGCCTATCAATGCTGGTCAAATTCGAACAATTCGGAAAGAACTGCCCTATGACAGCCCGCCAAAGACATTTCCATTCACAGTGACAGTGGGCGTCGAACCAGAAACTTTGGAGCAGCGGCCTGAAGGAGGTTGGGCGAGGCTCAGCCCGGCAGAGCCAGTTCATGCAATGCTTTTTGCCATGCAGGAAGCCATTGAAAAAGGTGCCGAGCCTGTCTTGAAAGAGTGGCGACGTCTTTGCTTGACAACAAGTTTCTCTTTTGAAAACGTTCCTTTGGGGGAAGCCCGCTTTTGGAGAGCACAGAATTTGCGGGAACAAGCTGTACAACATGGCTTGGTGGTGCGCATGTCGGTCAGACAGCGCATCTATGATGTTGCTGGTTTCAAACTTGCACGAGAAAAGCAAACAGGGCACGATTTTGGAGCAGAAAAAGTAGCCCAGCTGTACACCCAACATTTGAAGCTGGCTGCCGACAGTGAACCCATCAGCAAGACATTTGTGGAGGATGCTTGTGCGATTCACAGACGCCTCCTGTCTTTAGAGCCTTGCGCAAAACTTCTGGAATGGGCTGACCGTGAACTTCTGATCTACAACCCTTGGAAGAGCATCTACAGCCTGAAGGCTTTGCTGGACAGAGCATCCAGCAGTGACAACCTCATTTGGTGCATGGAAGGTCTGATGGATGCTTGGCGCATGAAAATCATTGATCAATCGGCATTCTATGTGGCAAGGCTGAAGGATCCCAGAAACAGTTCCTTGGAATGCATTGTTTTTCCTTCAATTCCCATTGAGTTATTTTCCTACCTTCCCATTCCCTGAATCAGAAATCTCGCCTAACCGTGTGTTTTAAAAGACTATTACCTTTTTTTCAAGCTGAACTCAGTAAATAATAACACCCATAGACCGACCTCAGGTTACTGTGAAGTCTTGAAGCTCAAGAAGCAGGTTAAAGAACACTTGCTGGGAGATTGGCTCCAAGGCCAAGAGGTCGATTCCAAGTGGAAGAGCCTGCTTCGTGAAATTTTTGCTTCCTTTGACATGGTGCGCAAGAAGTTCAGCGCTTACCCCGACCATGCGCTCCCAGACACTGCATGGCAAGTCGGTTGCCCTGAATCGGTCAGCCTCTTTGCCGACCTGCTTGACCAGCTGGTCTATGGAGACTCTTTCGATCCGCGCTTCAAGGATGCTGTGAAGTCCAAACACGCTGTAGAAGACTTTCTTGCTTACCCGAGCGTGGAGAAGCCACTTGCCAACGTCGAAGCCCAAATCCGCTCAGAAAAACGCCCTCCAAGTGCTGGCCAGCCACAGGCAGAAGCGTCTAACCCTGAGCCTGACGCTGCGGCTGCTTCGGCCGAAACTGAAACGGCAGAAGCGGCTGATTCGGCTGCATCGGCTGCTGCGGCCGACGACCAGCATAGCCAACTCACAGAGGAGGAGCAACAGCAGTGGAGGCAGCACATGCTGAGAACGTTGCAAGGTCATGTGCGATTTGTCACTGATGGCAAAAACCAAGCGGAACTTGAACAAAACTTGAAGGATTCAGGCTTGGCAACAATCAAAGGTGACAATAGCCTTGGTCAAGTGCTCTTGATTTTTGATATCAAAAAATATGGTGAGCCGTCGACCCGGCCAGACCTACGCGTTCCAACCCTCAGAGAAGGTATGTACAACCGCTTGGTCAGGGCCGTCTTGAACGCCCGCTCCTCTGAAGGCCCCGGGACACTTGGACCAGGAGATATTGGGCTAGTTTTCGATGGTGGAAAGCAAGGTAACAAGAACAAATTCCTTGCACCTTGGAAAGAAGGCACAGTCAAAGAAGGAAAGAAAAATCAAGCAGAAGATGACAATGAAGGTGATGAAGGGGAGGAAGGAGATGAAGACGAAGAAGATGGCGATGACAAGCCCAATTTGGTGTGCGACAAGCTCCTCCTCACCTACACAGAAGAAAGCTTAGCTGCTCGAAAGCAACGGGTCCGCGGCACTGGAACGCTGAAGCAACTCGAGACAGCTTTGGTGCTCACTTCCAGGCGGCTGTCTTTGCCACCCCGCGACCGCAAACACTTCCCTGGCAGCACCAATGGTGACCTCATCTCTGGCATTGCTTGGCCGAAGCACTCAGAAGAGTGGCAGATCCCTTGGAAGGAAAAGAAAGAGTGCTATGGCAAACGCCACTTGATAGCGGTAGGAGGAAAAACAGAGCATGCCGGCGATGAAGGAAAGCAGGGGAACCGCGGAAACAATGAAGCAGAGCCATTTTGTTACCACAGCGCACCAGAAGCTTTTTTGGAAGAGATTCTCCATGGATACTACGTGAAGAGCGTAGTGGACATGACGCCCGCCGACGGGAAGCTGGCGTTCGTGTGCTTGAGACAACGAATTGGCTATTGCGGAATTTGCTACAACGACACCCACGCAAAAACCCTTGAAAAAAGGATGCTGCAGCGACTTGAGAAAGAGATGGTGGACAGCAGCAGCCCACTCTTTTCTTCTGCCTACTCCACCGCCCTTGGAAATGGCACTGCCGAGACTGTCACAGTGCCTAACCCAAAACCAAAGCCAAGGCCCAAAGCCAAAGGCGCTGCCAGTAAACCCAAGTCCAAGCCAAAGGCAAAACAGAGACCCAAGGCCAAAGCAAAGAGCGGAAACAAGCGGCCTCGTGAAGACGACGGTGCAGAGGACCAGGATCAAGAAGAAGGTGAGTCGGAGCAAGGGGAAGAAAAGGAAGACGAAGAAAATGTTTGGGACCCGTTGGAGGACTGAGTCAGCCGTATTTTGGCTGCAAAGCAGCTGTTTCGGCTGTAAAGCAGCTGTTTCGGCTGTATCGCAGCTGTTTCGGCTGTGTAGTATTGTGGGTTGCGTCTTAGTTATAGGAAGATGTCGGCCTTGGCTGCTTCGGCTAAGTTTTGTTGAGTACATCTTGACGCGCGGCAGGGGAAAATAAGAATGCGTGGGATGGGGGTCTGACCGGCACGTTCAGCTTAGTTTCCAAAGAACTGTTTTTCCAATGTCATGTCGTGTTAGCAATTTAGGATCCAGGTTTTAAAAGAAAAACATGCATGGATATTTTAATTCCTCGTTTATCATGGCATGAAGATTTTTTTTTAAGACCCGCAGAAAAGCCATGTGCACCACCAAAAAAAAAATCCAAAATTCCTCTAAGCGAGCCTAAGTATTGTCCTACCCTACTCACCTGGATCATAGAATTCCATGCCCTTAGAGATCCGTGCATGTGAAATCCTGAAAAAAAAATACTACTCGATCCATGTCTGGATCTAGAAATCTATATGATCTATATGATCTATATGATCTCCTGTAAAATGTGATACTTACATATACTTACTATTTGATCTATATGATCTCACATTCCGACTTCTCCCAGCTGCAATCCATGTCACCTAACGTGATCCCGTCCTTTCGGTCCAGGAGTTCCATCAACTCGCGGCGGAGACAGGCGAATTGCGAGTGCAATTCCTCCGCTGCACCGTCACTCCCCGGTGAATTCGCCATCGGGACGGGACTCCGACGCACTGCAATGCCACCGGAGGATCGGCGGACGACTCGAGGCCGGATGTGAGTTAAGTGATGAATGATGAATCTGATGTCGACTTGGCTGGTGAAGCTAAGTCGTGACTTGACTGGTTTCCAGCACCTCAGCTTTGATCCACTGAGGAACATGGGAAAACGTCATCTGTGGTGAGGATCAGCAAGTACCCAAGAACCTATATACGATTTTTCTTTTTTTCTCCCGCGCCTGGACTGCAGGCCACGTGTACCAAACATCCATAAACATGTCAATGAGCTAACAGCTATCACATCAACAGCCTGTTACACTTCCCAGCTCATAATATCTTGAGGTTGTCAAGAAAATGTTCCAGCATTGCCAGTATGGCATGAGGTGTTTGTCTGAAAATGGTACATGCCCATAAAAAAAAAAATCAGGCTTTATCATCATTAAAGCTTTCATGTTTGGGATAGTTGTCATGGTGTTTATAACATGTTATAATTACGGTCAGACACACAAAACATACTCAAACGTAGCATTTCACCGCATAGGAATCCGCCTTTCCCTGGAACAGAATCTTCCTGGGAAACATGTCCACGACAGCTGCCAATCTTGAGAAGCGTATATAATATACCAAGAATATCAAACCTGTAGCTGGTTGGCATTATAATCCTGGTTGGTGGTACACCAACCCCTCTGAAAAATATGAGTTCGTCAGTTGGGATGATGATTATTCCCAACATATGGAAAGTCATAAAATTCATGTTCCAAACCACCAACCAGATAATATGATAAATATTGATAATATTGATGAATATCAGGTACTAGTTGTGATTACTGTAACCATTAAATGGCTTAAATGGTATCAGTCAGTTGGGATGATGAAATTCCCAATAACTATATGGAAATTCATGAAATTCATGTTCCAAACCACCAACCAGATATTAATATCACCCATTTAAGCAGCAAAAGATCACACCAAAGGTTGGCACCTTGCCGTTGGAGTCAGCATCCAACTCAGGCGAGGCGGGGGAAAACAGCAGCCCTGAAGGGAAATCTCAACTGGAAAGCCCTATATTTGGTGATCTAAGAGAGAAAAAAAACACGGTACAACTATGTACAAATGACAATCCATTGAGTTTATCTTTGTAGAAAATGTCCATGTTCATCCATTGAGTTTATCTTATGAGGCTCCCGCCGTTTAAGGAGTGGATATACAGGGAATCCGGATCATATCTGGATCCAAAAAAACATCGATCATTCCAAAACATGACCAGTCTTAGAAAGCCCGGCCCTGACCAAAAATTGCCCTAAGTGTCACTGATGTGTTGGCGAAACTTGAATCACCAAGGCCCAGAAGTTGTGCTGCTCAGATCTGCTGCTCAGATCCTCAGATCTGCTGCTCAGATCATGTCAGATCCAAGGAACCCTTCGAAAACATTGATGGAAGGAGGAGAAGCATGCTGCCGCCTGGTACCAGGCTGTTCACCCAACGATTTTTGGACCTATCACCAGGGGTCGCTTAGTAAAGGGAGTCTAGAGGGGTCTGAAAAATGGCAAAGGCTTTCCAGGATGGTGATGCTTCTTCGATCATTTCCAGGCTCCAGCTTTTCTATCTATCTGGGTGTTGCAGGAAACTCTGGATAACTACGGCAGGTGATGAGTGGTGGTGGTAGGTGAGCCCCTAAAAACATCTATGCAACGACCATCGTATGTAGCCTCTGCCAGGTGAAAAACAGGGCCAAAAGCCTCTGGGGTCATTGGGAATAGGAAGTGCCATCTGACTACGACTCCAGCCTAAGGCTCTGGGCCAATAAAAAACAGATTGTTTCATATTGTTCATGTATGTTTACTGAATTAATGGTTTCAAACTTTCAGGTTGACACATGTTTGTTGTTGACTCATTTTGACCGCGGCTTGCGATTCTCCATAGAATGTCGTACAGTTCTTAGATAACTCACGTGGCAACAAAAAAGTCAATGATTTCCAAATATATAATTTGACAATAAGTCAATTGTATTTTTTGTTCCATCATAAGTGTCCCCCGAAAAAAGGAACTGATGTTTGCCCCTGTAATTTCCAGGTTTTTAACTTGATGTCCTATCTACCTGCTTTCTGTTTTTTTCCATCTCTGGAGAACAACGCATGATTATTTGCTCACCTTACCCAGTTGGTTTCCCTATATTTGATGCCAACAAATCCCCATAACTCTGGATTGTGATCTATATAGATTTATCCATCAAGTATTTGTTCGTTACTTTTCCTATCTTGGACTTTTTTTTGATACCCACATATCATCTAGTATCTTGATAAATCATTTCAAAGTCATTCACCTGAGACTTCCCTTCACCACCAAAAATGGGGAGCCCATCACCCAGTGGATCCTTGGCACCGATCAACTCCAGAAGAGCTTGGAAGTCTGCCTTCAGGATGGGCTCCTGCGATCCGATCCGAATCCGATTCCCATCCGATGTTTTTGACAAATTCCGGCCTCGTTTTGATTTGTTGTGTTTGGATGGGATTTTTACTTGGTAGGGAAAAAACCATGAAACATTGGGATTAACTTGATGAAACCATGATGTAAGCATCTAACGGAAAGGATATGATGGGTAGTGAAGATTCAGAAGTGATGATACATTTTTTAAAGATAACTATGGGGAGTCCCCACTTTATGGGGGCTATTCTATATAATGTGAAACATGTAAACAGTCATTAGTATACCTACTGCTTTCGAACAAGTCCAAATCAAGCAACAGAATGCGACGCATCCCTCTCATAATCAAAAATCAATAGCTTCAGTACATTTCAATACTAAAGCATGCAAAACCCTTGTTTTCAGATGTACCGTGGGAAAACATGCTTTAATTGTTGGGGAATCAAGGACATCCTATGAGAAAAGGGCCAAGGGGATTCTCCAACATCAGGTGAATGCTCGAAAAAGGTGCTAATGATGATTAAAACATATCTCATTGCTGGTTTCCAGGTTTCAATATTACAGACTTGTGCATAGTCACCCTCTGGTAATGTACAAGTATCTATGAGGAATGGTGCATTTATAGATCGTTTTATTACATTCATTTCATTTACCATAAGTTACCTATTCAAAAACGGTGACTTGCCATAGCAAACTTGTAATTTATGCCAGAGGGTTATCCAATGTATGTATTGACTGCCCGCATTCATCAAGCCCCTTCACCGCTTCACGTCGTTTGAGCCCCAAGCCCCATCCTGCTGGACACCGCAAGATGCTTTCGCGGGCGCGGGAACTGCTTGTAACTGAACCTGCGGTCCGGTATATATGGTCCAGGACTTTTGGGCCTCAAAAATTTTGGGCGGATGTTGTTGGCCAGAAGGATACCTAAGTTCCTATAAATGAAATAACCTCTGGTAAACTAACATAGCTATTGAAAATTGCCGTTTATAGTGGATTTACCCATTTAAAAATAGTGGGCTTTCCACCAGCAAGTCCTCCCACGGCGGCTGCTTCGGCTGCAACAAAAACAACGGGGGCAGAGACAGATGCCAAAGCGGCTCTTTCGGCCGTCAAATCAGAAAGCGAGGTGGACCGGCAGCCCCCACCTGCTTTGACGCTGACTCGAGGTCCTGCGGCGAGAAGCCATCGAGACGATGGCCCCTTAGATTCGTCACCCACTTTGAAAAGCAGAGATGAAAGGCTGGAAGAGAAAGTGTCCGCGTTAGAAGAAAAGGTGGCCCGCCTGACAGAAGCTGCATCTTCCAGCAGCAACACACCCGGTGCGTTCCTGCCAAAGACAAATTGGGGCGGCGGCGGGCACCGGCCCACCAGTGGTTGGACTGAAAGAAAAATTGAAAGGACTCGCCGATATAAAAGCGGAGAGATGCAGAAAGCCAAGGCGAACCAAACCATCCGTGTGGTGATGTGTGGCATATGTTCCAAAAATCAACCTGGAACATATTGCAAAACTATGTCTTGCCGAAAATGTTGCAAAGACTCGGGGTGCCCACAGCACGCGTAGACGGGAAACTGATTGCGGCTGCTTCGGCTGCGTTGATTTGCGGCTGCTTCGGCCGCTTAGATGCAACCGCTGCTTGCTGACCAAAGCAGCTGCTTTTTGAATTCCCTTTGCCAAACAGGGAAATGCTTATCTGAGAAAAAAGGTAAGCGGCCGTTGAAGCGTGAATTTGTTTTTTCCCAACCCAACAGGTGAAGAACATACACTTTAATTTTCAAAAAACGTTGGATTCATGAACCCCCACCATGATTCACTCTCTGCATGCATTAAAATAGTATATGTATGCATGCATGTATGTAAAATAAATATATATATATACACATATACACACACATATATATATATATAAAGAATAAACAATAATAAAATGTATTATTATAATTGCCTCTGTTTGTTGTTCACATGCCTTTGAAATGAAATGAGGAGCAAACTGATCAAACCCATTGAACCAATTCGATGTCATTTCTTCAAGAACGTTGTCTGTCTATGTTTGCGGCTCTCAGCTTTGTGGGCTAACACTCTGTGCAGCTGATCCAGCTGTGTTTTGCACTAGCTCTTCAAACTTTGCCTGCTGCATTTTCATTGCAGCTGCTTCGGCTGCTCGGCCAGGCTTGGCTGCTGCGGCCATGGCACCCAGAAAAAAAAACCAAGCCAAGAAGAAAGCGAGAACGTAGTCAGAGATTGCAGATGATCCTGGTTTTGTGTCGGAGCATCTCATCAAAGTCCACGATGCCTTGAAAGTTATCAGAGAACACCCTGTGTTCAAAGATCTGGAAAGCGCCAAGCCGCTGTCCTTGGCACAAGGCAGCACTCAAGCGCCATTTGACTTGCAAGCTGCCAAGCGAGCTGTGGGAAGCGAAGCCGGTTGCTACAAGTGCGGATGCAATTTTATGTGGCAGGACATAGTGTGGATGGCCACACATCGTGTGCCTATCAATGCTGGTCAAATTCGAACAATTCGGAAAGAACTGCCCTATGACAGCCCGCCAAAGACATTTCCATTCACAGTGACAGTGGGCGTCGAACCAGAAACTTTGGAGCAGCGGCCTGAAGGAGGTTGGGCGAGGCTCAGCCCGGCAGAGCCAGTTCATGCAATGCTTTTTGCCATGCAGGAAGCCATTGAAAAAGGTGCCGAGCCTGTCTTGAAAGAGTGGCGACGTCTTTGCTTGACAACAAGTTTCTCTTTTGAAAACGTTCCTTTGGGGGAAGCCCGCTTTTGGAGAGCACAGAATTTGCGGGAACAAGCTGTACAACATGGCTTGGTGGTGCGCATGTCGGTCAGACAGCGCATCTATGATGTTGCTGGTTTCAAACTTGCACGAGAAAAGCAAACAGGGCACGATTTTGGAGCAGAAAAAGTAGCCCAGCTGTACACCCAACATTTGAAGCTGGCTGCCGACAGTGAACCCATCAGCAAGACATTTGTGGAGGATGCTTGTGCGATTCACAGACGCCTCCTGTCTTTAGAGCCTTGCGCAAAACTTCTGGAATGGGCTGACCGTGAACTTCTGATCTACAACCCTTGGAAGAGCATCTACAGCCTGAAGGCTTTGCTGGACAGAGCATCCAGCAGTGACAACCTCATTTGGTGCATGGAAGGTCTGATGGATGCTTGGCGCATGAAAATCATTGATCAATCGGCATTCTATGTGGCAAGGCTGAAGGATCCCAGAAACAGTTCCTTGGAATGCATTGTTTTTCCTTCAATTCCCATTGAGTTATTTTCCTACCTTCCCATTCCCTGAATCAGAAATCTCGCCTAACCGTGTGTTTTAAAAGACTATTACCTTTTTTTCAAGCTGAACTCAGTAAATAATAACACCCATAGACCGACCTCAGGTTACTGTGAAGTCTTGAAGCTCAAGAAGCAGGTTAAAGAACACTTGCTGGGAGATTGGCTCCAAGGCCAAGAGGTCGATTCCAAGTGGAAGAGCCTGCTTCGTGAAATTTTTGCTTCCTTTGACATGGTGCGCAAGAAGTTCAGCGCTTACCCCGACCATGCGCTCCCAGACACTGCATGGCAAGTCGGTTGCCCTGAATCGGTCAGCCTCTTTGCCGACCTGCTTGACCAGCTGGTCTATGGAGACTCTTTCGATCCGCGCTTCAAGGATGCTGTGAAGTCCAAACACGCTGTAGAAGACTTTCTTGCTTACCCGAGCGTGGAGAAGCCACTTGCCAACGTCGAAGCCCAAATCCGCTCAGAAAAACGCCCTCCAAGTGCTGGCCAGCCACAGGCAGAAGCGTCTAACCCTGAGCCTGACGCTGCGGCTGCTTCGGCCGAAACTGAAACGGCAGAAGCGGCTGATTCGGCTGCATCGGCTGCTGCGGCCGACGACCAGCATAGCCAACTCACAGAGGAGGAGCAACAGCAGTGGAGGCAGCACATGCTGAGAACGTTGCAAGGTCATGTGCGATTTGTCACTGATGGCAAAAACCAAGCGGAACTTGAACAAAACTTGAAGGATTCAGGCTTGGCAACAATCAAAGGTGACAATAGCCTTGGTCAAGTGCTCTTGATTTTTGATATCAAAAAATATGGTGAGCCGTCGACCCGGCCAGACCTACGCGTTCCAACCCTCAGAGAAGGTATGTACAACCGCTTGGTCAGGGCCGTCTTGAACGCCCGCTCCTCTGAAGGCCCCGGGACACTTGGACCAGGAGATATTGGGCTAGTTTTCGATGGTGGAAAGCAAGGTAACAAGAACAAATTCCTTGCACCTTGGAAAGAAGGCACAGTCAAAGAAGGAAAGAAAAATCAAGCAGAAGATGACAATGAAGGTGATGAAGGGGAGGAAGGAGATGAAGACGAAGAAGATGGCGATGACAAGCCCAATTTGGTGTGCGACAAGCTCCTCCTCACCTACACAGAAGAAAGCTTAGCTGCTCGAAAGCAACGGGTCCGCGGCACTGGAACGCTGAAGCAACTCGAGACAGCTTTGGTGCTCACTTCCAGGCGGCTGTCTTTGCCACCCCGCGACCGCAAACACTTCCCTGGCAGCACCAATGGTGACCTCATCTCTGGCATTGCTTGGCCGAAGCACTCAGAAGAGTGGCAGATCCCTTGGAAGGAAAAGAAAGAGTGCTATGGCAAACGCCACTTGATAGCGGTAGGAGGAAAAACAGAGCATGCCGGCGATGAAGGAAAGCAGGGGAACCGCGGAAACAATGAAGCAGAGCCATTTTGTTACCACAGCGCACCAGAAGCTTTTTTGGAAGAGATTCTCCATGGATACTACGTGAAGAGCGTAGTGGACATGACGCCCGCCGACGGGAAGCTGGCGTTCGTGTGCTTGAGACAACGAATTGGCTATTGCGGAATTTGCTACAACGACACCCACGCAAAAACCCTTGAAAAAAGGATGCTGCAGCGACTTGAGAAAGAGATGGTGGACAGCAGCAGCCCACTCTTTTCTTCTGCCTACTCCACCGCCCTTGGAAATGGCACTGCCGAGACTGTCACAGTGCCTAACCCAAAACCAAAGCCAAGGCCCAAAGCCAAAGGCGCTGCCAGTAAACCCAAGTCCAAGCCAAAGGCAAAACAGAGACCCAAGGCCAAAGCAAAGAGCGGAAACAAGCGGCCTCGTGAAGACGACGGTGCAGAGGACCAGGATCAAGAAGAAGGTGAGTCGGAGCAAGGGGAAGAAAAGGAAGACGAAGAAAATGTTTGGGACCCGTTGGAGGACTGAGTCAGCCGTATTTTGGCTGCAAAGCAGCTGTTTCGGCTGTAAAGCAGCTGTTTCGGCTGTATCGCAGCTGTTTCGGCTGTGTAGTATTGTGGGTTGCGTCTTAGTTATAGGAAGATGTCGGCCTTGGCTGCTTCGGCTAAGTTTTGTTGAGTACATCTTGACGCGCGGCAGGGGAAAATAAGAATGCGTGGGATGGGGGTCTGACCGGCACGTTCAGCTTAGTTTCCAAAGAACTGTTTTTCCAATGTCATGTCGTGTTAGCAATTTAGGATCCAGGTTTTAAAAGAAAAACATGCATGGATATTTTAATTCCTCGTTTATCATGGCATGAAGATTTTTTTTTAAGACCCGCAGAAAAGCCATGTGCACCACCAAAAAAAAAATCCAAAATTCCTCTAAGCGAGCCTAAGTATTGTCCTACCCTACTCACCTGGATCATAGAATTCCATGCCCTTAGAGATCCGTGCATGTGAAATCCTGAAAAAAAAATACTACTCGATCCATGTCTGGATCTAGAAATCTATATGATCTATATGATCTATATGATCTCCTGTAAAATGTGATACTTACATATACTTACTATTTGATCTATATGATCTCACATTCCGACTTCTCCCAGCTGCAATCCATGTCACCTAACGTGATCCCGTCCTTTCGGTCCAGGAGTTCCATCAACTCGCGGCGGAGACAGGCGAATTGCGAGTGCAATTCCTCCGCTGCACCGTCACTCCCCGGTGAATTCGCCATCGGGACGGGACTCCGACGCACTGCAATGCCACCGGAGGATCGGCGGACGACTCGAGGCCGGATGTGAGTTAAGTGATGAATGATGAATCTGATGTCGACTTGGCTGGTGAAGCTAAGTCGTGACTTGACTGGTTTCCAGCACCTCAGCTTTGATCCACTGAGGAACATGGGAAAACGTCATCTGTGGTGAGGATCAGCAAGTACCCAAGAACCTATATACGATTTTTCTTTTTTTCTCCCGCGCCTGGACTGCAGGCCACGTGTACCAAACATCCATAAACATGTCAATGAGCTAACAGCTATCACATCAACAGCCTGTTACACTTCCCAGCTCATAATATCTTGAGGTTGTCAAGAAAATGTTCCAGCATTGCCAGTATGGCATGAGGTGTTTGTCTGAAAATGGTACATGCCCATAAAAAAAAAAATCAGGCTTTATCATCATTAAAGCTTTCATGTTTGGGATAGTTGTCATGGTGTTTATAACATGTTATAATTACGGTCAGACACACAAAACATACTCAAACGTAGCATTTCACCGCATAGGAATCCGCCTTTCCCTGGAACAGAATCTTCCTGGGAAACATGTCCACGACAGCTGCCAATCTTGAGAAGCGTATATAATATACCAAGAATATCAAACCTGTAGCTGGTTGGCATTATAATCCTGGTTGGTGGTACACCAACCCCTCTGAAAAATATGAGTTCGTCAGTTGGGATGATGATTATTCCCAACATATGGAAAGTCATAAAATTCATGTTCCAAACCACCAACCAGATAATATGATAAATATTGATAATATTGATGAATATCAGGTACTAGTTGTGATTACTGTAACCATTAAATGGCTTAAATGGTATCAGTCAGTTGGGATGATGAAATTCCCAATAACTATATGGAAATTCATGAAATTCATGTTCCAAACCACCAACCAGATATTAATATCACCCATTTAAGCAGCAAAAGATCACACCAAAGGTTGGCACCTTGCCGTTGGAGTCAGCATCCAACTCAGGCGAGGCGGGGGAAAACAGCAGCCCTGAAGGGAAATCTCAACTGGAAAGCCCTATATTTGGTGATCTAAGAGAGAAAAAAAACACGGTACAACTATGTACAAATGACAATCCATTGAGTTTATCTTTGTAGAAAATGTCCATGTTCATCCATTGAGTTTATCTTATGAGGCTCCCGCCGTTTAAGGAGTGGATATACAGGGAATCCGGATCATATCTGGATCCAAAAAAACATCGATCATTCCAAAACATGACCAGTCTTAGAAAGCCCGGCCCTGACCAAAAATTGCCCTAAGTGTCACTGATGTGTTGGCGAAACTTGAATCACCAAGGCCCAGAAGTTGTGCTGCTCAGATCTGCTGCTCAGATCCTCAGATCTGCTGCTCAGATCATGTCAGATCCAAGGAACCCTTCGAAAACATTGATGGAAGGAGGAGAAGCATGCTGCCGCCTGGTACCAGGCTGTTCACCCAACGATTTTTGGACCTATCACCAGGGGTCGCTTAGTAAAGGGAGTCTAGAGGGGTCTGAAAAATGGCAAAGGCTTTCCAGGATGGTGATGCTTCTCCGATCATTTCCAGGTTCCAGCTTTTCTATCTATCTGGGTGTTGCAGGAAACTCTGGATAACTACGGCAGGTGATGAGTGGTGGTGGTAGGTGAGCCCCTAAAAACATCTATGCAACGACCATCGTATGTAGCCTCTGCCAGGTGAAAAACAGGGCCAAAAGCCTCTGGGGTCATTGGGAATAGGAAGTGCCATCTGACTACGACTCCAGCCTAAGGCTCTGGGCCAATAAAAAACAGATTGTTTCATATTGTTCATGTATGTTTACTGAATTAATGGTTTCAAACTTTCAGGTTGACACATGTTTGTTGTTGACTCATTTTGACCGCGGCTTGCGATTCTCCATAGAATGTCGTACAGTTCTTAGATAACTCACGTGGCAACAAAAAAAGTCAATGATTTCCAAATATATAATTTGACAATAAGTCAATTGTATTTTTTGTTCCATCATAAGTGTCCCCCGAAAAAAGGAACTGATGTTTGCCCCTGTAATTTCCAGGTTTTTAACTTGATGTCCTATCTACCTGCTTTCTGTTTTTTTCCATCTCTGGAGAACAACGCATGATTATTTGCTCACCTTACCCAGTTGGTTTCCCTATATTTGATGCCAACAAATCCCCATAACTCTGGATTGTGATCTATATAGATTTATCCATCAAGTATTTGTTCGTTACTTTTCCTATCTTGGACTTTTTTTTGATACCCACATATCATCTAGTATCTTGATAAATCATTTCAAAGTCATTCACCTGAGACTTCCCTTCACCACCAAAAATGGGGAGCCCATCACCCAGTGGATCCTTGGCACCGATCAACTCCAGAAGAGCTTGGAAGTCTGCCTTCAGGATGGGCTCCTGCGATCCGATCCGAATCCGATTCCCATCCGATGTTTTTGACAAATTCCGGCCTCGTTTTGATTTGTTGTGTTTGGATGGGATTTTTACTTGGTAGGGAAAAAACCATGAAACATTGGGATTAACTTGATGAAACCATGATGTAAGCATCTAACGGAAAGGATATGATGGGTAGTGAAGATTCAGAAGTGATGATACATTTTTTAAAGATAACTATGGGGAGTCCCCACTTTATGGGGGCTATTCTATATAATGTGAAACATGTAAACAGTCATTAGTATACCTACTGCTTTCGAACAAGTCCAAATCAAGCAACAGAATGCGACGCATCCCTCTCATAATCAAAAATCAATAGCTTCAGTACATTTCAATACTAAAGCATGCAAAACCCTTGTTTTCAGATGTACCGTGGGAAAACATGCTTTAATTGTTGGGGAATCAAGGACATCCTATGAGAAAAGGGCCAAGGGGATTCTCCAACATCAGGTGAATGCTCGAAAAAGGTGCTAATGATGATTAAAACATATCTCATTGCTGGTTTCCAGGTTTCAATATTACAGACTTGTGCATAGTCACCCTCTGGTAATGTACAAGTATCTATGAGGAATGGTGCATTTATAGATCGTTTTATTACATTCATTTCATTTACCATAAGTTACCTATTCAAAAACGGTGACTTGCCATAGCAAACTTGTAATTTATGCCAGAGGGTTATCCAATGTATGTATTGACTGCCCGCATTCATCAAGCCCCTTCACCGCTTCACGTCGTTTGAGCCCCAAGCCCCATCCTGCTGGACACCGCAAGATGCTTTCGCGGGCGCGGGAACTGCTTGTAACTGAACCTGCGGTCCGGTATATATGGTCCAGGACTTTTGGGCCTCAAAAATTTTGGGCGGATGTTGTTGGCCAGAAGGATACCTAAGTTCCTATAAATGAAATAACCTCTGGTAAACTAACATAGCTATTGAAAATTGCCGTTTATAGTGGATTTACCCATTTAAAAATAGTGGGCTTTCCACAGCTATGTTAGTTTACCAGAGGGTAAATACATTCAGATTTTTGTACCCCGGGAGACAACCCAGCCTGAAATCGGCCCTAAAAGATCTAAAAGTGGCCTACATGTTGCCGGTCATTGGTGGCAAGCCCAACTGTGGATAGGTCGCCCTTGGGACAGGCGAAGCTGATTTCAATTGAAAAGTTTTCCCTAGTGAAATCGTGGCTTCTGGTGAAATTGTTCAAGGTCTCTATCAAAATAACATGTTCCATATGCCAATATGTTCGTTCACAAACTGACAAACCCATATACTGTATTTCCCAAGTCATCCACGTGTGTAATTGAAAAACATGTCAATGCACACACATACCTCGAAATCTGCCGAACGTAGGGCAAATTTGGTGGTACGGCTTTGGAACATCCTAACGCCAAGGTACGACAGGACAACCCATGACCGGGGATGATGGAACACATCATCCCATTACTGGGTGGCTCTTCGTACAGCTGCGTCATGTTCCGAAAAATGCTTTCCACATGATCAACTATTGTCCACTATATCATCCATTATCATCCCACGATCTATCCCAAAACATAAATATCAGTAGCAGTGGGAAGGTGAACGTTTTTATTAATAATTTACATTAATGTAGCAACAAGAATAGCTCGGCCATCTTGGGATAGTTGGCCTTATAATCATGACTATACAGCAATGGGGGATGGTGCTATCCCAGTAATTATCACAGGTTATCATCCAATCATTATCCATATAGTATTTCTCCTCAAACAACTTGACATAATCAAGAGATATCCCTTTATTGTCCATTCTAAGTTATAATCAGCTCTAAGATACATTACTATACCAAAAGAGATCCCACACACATTATAATCCCGTTATTATTGAAGACAGATTCCACTACTATGATTGTTGTAATCATCTTTTGGGACAATTTACAAGATGATATCATATTATCATTGGATCACATCCACTATCATAGAAAGGAAATATTACTGTAGCGTTTGATGATAACTATAAATATACATTAATATACATATATATATATAAATAAATATTGTTAATATCCAATATTTTGTTCCGATCTGGTTGGCTCTCTGACATGACTAAGAGGGAGGTATCATCCTAGTACCCGTTTCTTGCAGCCGTGACCTTCTGAGCCACTATCTCCGGCGCTCGCGGTGTCGGCCTCGAGCGCAGGGGCATGGGATCCCCCCATGCCTCATGGCTTTCAATACTAAAATGGTCTAATGGCTGGATGATTTGGAGGCACGCTCCATATCTAGTTCAATTGTAGTCAAATGTCGAAGGTGTCTTTATTAACTTCGTGGCTTAATCATTTGTTGCATTTGCATTTTGACCCGTGTCTTACCCACTTAGAGCCACACATGTTGGTATGTTGGCCCATTCTGTGAATGTTGCGTAAAGATATTCTCAAGGGTTCAAGTACGTTCACGGCATGTACGACCATGTCACTGCTACTTCCCATATAATTAAGCTGACGCGAATCTGGATCCTTGCATGTTGTATATGCGGCCGGCTGAAACCCACAGTGAGGCCAAATGATCCAAATGAGCCGAAGAACTGATCATCTCAACTTCAAGATATCTCTGACTCATCTGGGTCAACCCGGTAAAAACAACCAGGTGGTGAAGGCAGGGCCTAGCTACTCGTTCCTGGCAAGTCATTGAGGTCTATGGCCTTGGGCCACTGCGAAAAGGTCCCATCTTGGTACCGTACGGAGCAGCTGCCGGTGCCTGGTGACAGGATCGGATCCAAGCCGGCTAGCCAACATATGCCAACATTAGACATTGGGCAATATCAACCCCCAAATATCTCCAGGAACAATTCACGTTTAGTCACAGCCCATCTCAGTGGATTCTTGTGATTTTTGCAGGTCCTGAGGTTAGATCAAAACCTTATAACTGTTAGATCAAAACCCGCTCCAGGTTGACAAATAAGAATGTGGCGTTTCGTATCGTTTTATGTTTATTCATGCATCGTTTTCTTTCCTTCCGCGCCCCACCAACAGGACATTCCAAGGCGTTCCAACTTTCAGTCAATTATAACTGCACTTAATCCATATCATGTAAGTGATATATTTCACCTTAATTGCATGAGTTGTTCCATGGCCATAACTCATTCAGGGCTTCGGGCAGCTCCCAAGGCACCGATGTCACTGATCGCGCTGATCGCGCGCTTTGGGGTCGCGATCGTACCCCAAGTGGCCTGGCACGGTGCCCCTGACAGCTTGAAATCCTCAAACCCTATGAATACAGAGAAAAAAGTCCGAAACAAACTGTCTTGGCAATCAATATCATCAAATTAGATCAAATTAGCGGGTTTCCTGTAAATTTTGTTCCATCCAATTCACTAAACAAATAGATGGTGATGGTGAGAGTAATTTCCTATATTGGCAGAGGCAAGAAGGAACCATTACAAACCCCGAAGGAAATGAAGAAAAGTAACAAACACATACGAGCCCTACAAACAATACAGAATATGTTGTGCCCACTGGCGGTGCTCATCACTGCGCGTGGGCATCAGTGACTTTTAGGTCACAGCCAACTGTAACTTTTAGGTGAAAGCGACGTGACTTTGGCTCAAAGTAGACACCTTCCACTTCAAGATGAGACTCACCTTTCTGAATGTCATCCTCATATCATCTCCAGAAATGCGTCTTCTGGAGGTTTCCCTGATATGCCTTTTTTTCCCGTGAGCAGTAACTCCTGCTGATCCAAACTGTTTCTTGTTCCCACAAAGTATGTTCCCACGCACACGTTTGCAAAAGAGAAAAATAAAGTAGGGACCAGGGGCACATGTATGCTCAAAAAATATCAAAAAAATACTCCGCGATGTGTATATTTTTGTTATCCCGTGACCATCCACATGTAGATAACTCCTTGGAAATCCTTGGAACCAACCTGGGATATCAGCACTTGATCGAATCTACTGTACACGCAACAAGCTGCATGACTGGATGAGTCAGTTCAATTTAATTATCTCCCAACCATTCATGGCTCTAATCAAAATTCGGGACCCGTTTGCTGTACCCAAAGAAGTCCTCCTCAAAAAAAATTAAATTGGAACTTCCCAAATTCTAATCACCTCCGGGAGTTTATTGAAATTTTCGACCGCAACCGCAAGATCACCCAAATTATAATTTTGAAACACCCACCCTGCCAGAAAGACTCGGATTGAATCTGAAAACGCCAGGAGCGCGACTTAGCCAGTCCTCGCAATGCTGATAGTAAGCGTGAAGTGAGAGGCGCCCAGACTGTCCCAAAGGAAATGGTTTCCGTTCTGGTTTATGAGCCAGTTTGCTGGATTGAGGGTCCATGTGGAACAATCATGTTTAAGAAAGCACCCTAAAGGAGGAAATTCGGTAAGGTCAATTGCTGACATTATGTTCGATCGCTAATTGCTCATTTTTGCAGCTGCGGCAAAGCTGACAAAAATGATCGACAACAATTCAGGCAGTGATAGGCAGTGATTATAGGTTCAAAGCCCCAATTCCACTGCCCCATCCAACCACCATTTTTGTTCCAGTGGCGTGGGTGGGATATGAACAAATGCAAATGTAAAATCATGATACCACGAACTGACAAGACATTTGTTTAGCTCAAAATCGTATGCCTGGCTATGCCTGGTATACCTCTACATACCACTACTACAAGTGTGCGTAACCCGACAAATCCCTTCGCTCTCACGTACGTGTCATTGTGACATTGCCCACTTTACGGGTGACCCCTGGGACCCCAGATTCAAAGACTAAAACCCAACAGGCACTGCTGTTGGGACCATCTTGGGTTCGACGAATTCTTGGTTGTTTTGTTCCACAAGGTACCTGATGGGGCCTGCCAACCCCTTTGGAGTGGTAGATAGCCCTGATGTTAACTAATTATATAGATAGATAAATCCTTGTTTGGGTTTGACAGTAACACTAGTGCACAAAATCACGTTTTCAGGGTTCCCTTTTGATCAATTGGCCAGGGTTTCCAAATCAGTACAACCATGTTTTTCTCGAAGGCTCTATTGTTGCAAAGCAAACGGCGAACGTGAAAAACACCAGCATAAACATGCGTCATGAAAACAATGCACACAAAGGAATAACAATAAACACAAAACATAAACAAGCACCTTACTTCGTGCGATTCACACCGTGACATATTTTCTGATATATATATATATATATATATTGTGTGTGTTGAAAAATAAATCGTTATCTATCATATATTCTGACATGGTACCTTGCATCCTTTCTGACATTCTATCTGGCATTTTATCTAGCTAATTCTCTATCTAGCAGCTAACATATATCCCGACATCCTCTCAGTCTCACAGTTTGTCTAGCATGCTATATTTCACATTATACCTTATACGTTGACATTGTTTCTGACATGCTATCTGGAATCCTATTTGGCATTCTATCCGGCATTATATCTAAATTTATTTGAATTTCCGTTTATATAAATCTATTTGATATGTTTTATCTGACATGCTATCTGACATTCTACCTGGCGTTCTGTCTGATCTACCAGCAGGTTAGAATACAAAAATCGTTATCCAATAAAAATAAATAATGATGATCACAGCGAAAAACAATGATAATTGATAGAATGAAATTAGTTTCACACAAGTAGGAAAAACATTCAGAACAAAAAAACTCAGTACCGACAGTTAAAAAAAGTGGATGGTTGTGAAGACCTGAGTGGCTTGATCAGATTGATCATAGTTGATAGGTTGTTAATACATGCATAGTTACCCTCTGGTTGTTTAACATAGCCATGGAAAATGGCCCATTTATAGATGATTTCCATGGCTATGTTAAGTAACCAGGTGGTAATACCATTATTTCTAAGGTTTCGATCATCCTTTTGGTAGTTGATCGGATCCACCAACTGCCACAACAGCGTCCTGGTGCTGTGGCAGGGCGCGCACGCGCTGAGGCGGGCCGCGAGGTGAGATGGCCTCACTGCTTCGAAGAAAACGTCGAGAAACATTTCGGACAACAAAAAACGGAAAAAAACAAACACAAGGGTTATTATAAGCATAAGAATCACAATTTTAATATGTTTATTTTAATGATGATTAATCACATTAACATTGCATTCTTCTTTCCCAGAAGTGGGGATTTAACAGCGAAAAAAATCGGGATTTGCACATCAAACATGCATGTGGATTTTGCGATAGAGATAGATTACTGGTGATGTAACTGACAAACATTGGACTTTAGCTAACAGAAAGAGGACACATGACTCACATGACCAATTAATATCCAATTAATTAATCCACGCGAACAGGTCCGTGTTTTCTTTCTTTTCACCAAGCGAAGATTATTGTGCGTACGGAAAGAAATGGCCGTGTAAGACATGCACTTTATACCGATGAATTCGCTGGTTTGCTTTCAGGGATTTTTGAAACAGGCGATCAGGAAACATCAGGAAACCATGTTTCTTCATCAGCAAAAATATTGAATGTTAGGCAATCCGAGCCCACCCTATCTAGGCCATCCTATTCCAACCAGTTTCGAGAAACATCAACCCCGCAAAACTGGCGATTTATGCGTGCCAGAAAAAATGTCCGTCGGAGGATCCATTATCTCCGACTTCTTCATTTTCGAGAGCGTCAGTGAATATAGCGTGGCAATTGCGATGAAGTTGCCGACTCAGCTTGGGGAGGGATCGAACGGGGTTGAATCATCTTCAAAAAAAACATACCACATAAATCTAGTCCATATGTTCTTGGGGGCCCTGTGCTGTGGAACCCCCATGGGTGCCATGTCCCGACTATGGGGTAGCCAACTTTTCTTGCAGATTCATGATGCCCAAAATTTGGAAACCTAGCACAGGGGCAGTGACCCCTGGCCAAAGAAGTGAATGGGGGGAGATCATTTTCAGGCTCTCGGCAGAGTGTGCGCAGGGCTCATAGTGCAAGAGGTCGACATTGTGCAGCCCTAACATGTATAAATACGTATAATATATATATAATTATATGTATGTGTGTGTGATTACATGTGTCTATATAATAAAAATAAAAATGCACACAAACACAATCACATACACACACACATATGTATATATACATATATATATACACACACTCTTGTGATTTTTCTGAATACACAGTAACACTGCTAAAGCGTCAAATCTAAACCAGCTTCCTCATAACAAGCTGTACAACTTTCATGTGAAACGCCAAATTTCTCCAAATCCGCGTTGAAGATCTTGACGGCCTCTGCATAGACAGGACGATCACTTTCATCCACCCAGCCATTCAAAATCGCCGTGTCGTAGGTGCTGGTAGCGTTTGTTCTGCGGTTATCGGGCCTGGTGTCCAGAAATTCGAGGCTGCGACAGGGTCCTCCGAATTTTGCATGGAACAGGCAAATGGAAAGCGACCACTCTTCTTGCAAACCCACGAAAGCAAAGCCTTCCCTCAAGCGCTCCAATGCCATCAGAACATCGGCCTGCTGAGGCTGCTGAGCCGGGGCCTGGCTTCGCGATTCGGTGACTTCAAAAAACATGTGCATTGTCTCTTGTCAACATATTGCAGTGAGTAAAATATCCTTGTTATATCGCACAGTTGGTTTGTTTTCTATTGTTTTCTTATGTTTGTGCAAGAAACACCCTGGGGAGTTCTGTAATGCTCCGAGTGTTTTTGAGCTCTACATGCTCTATGACTCTATGACCCTTGTTCCCGTTGTCTGGTGTTTATATGTGCTTATGGGAAAATCCTGGCATAATCCTAAAACAGATATATATTATATGGTGGTAAATGGATGTCCTCTCACCATCATTAGGGAATCCATACAATGGGCATATCAACTTCAATTCATGGGGCATGATCAGCCCCTTTTAAGGGAAAACTACCAATGTTTTGACAATGGGTCATCCCACCCTATATTATTCCATCAGGGATGAACTGCAAGGGGCCGGCTACTTACTGCAGCAAACACCACGAACCAAAAAAAAACACCTTGCATTTGGCATCATTTGTCCATATTGTTACAATCATGATACAAACCGAACTTATGTTTACTTTCCATGCTCCCTGTCAAGAACATTGTCAGTAACACATGCTGAAATGTCCTGAACTATGATCGGAACTAGGAGGCCGATGATTCTAAAAATGGATCGGAACTAGGAGGCCAGAAAAACGCATTTGCAAACAACCCTGGCCTGCGTCGGCGGCGGGGCTTTGCCCGCCAGCTGCTTTGTTTCCCAACTGCCATAGTGTCCCTTAAATTCGTCCATGGACATGAGTCTTTCCTTGGATGTGCTCGAGATGTTGGTCAAAATTCTGCAAGCCGAAGCCGATGGGGGTTCCATTCCCTTTCTTTGGCCAAGCAAACGATGCACCGCTCCCAGACCCAAAGATTGAACCCCAACGGGGGCTGCTCTTGAAAGAACAGCACGGCCCACTTAGGTTGCCCAAAAGAAAGCCAAATAAACAGGAAAAAAAATCTTCAGCAAATCCTCTGGTTGCAGGCGTGCGATTCTCGGCGCATGCAGAGATAAAAGGGTTTGCCCGAAAGATGTCGGAATCATCATACCAAGCAGACAGCAAACCTCGAATGATTCCTCTAGTCATCAATCAAAGCGTGGCTTGGAAATACCTGTTGCATAGTGGGAAATCATAGTGTCTCTTGTAAATATATATATATATAGTATATTCCATCATGTTACGTTTTGTTACATACAAAAAAGGATAAACATATACAGTAAATAATATATAAATATATATATATATATATTGCGCGTTATTAATATATGATATTACAGTAAATCATATTATCGTATTGTTGCAAGTATGTGCATGCAGTATCTTACATGTATGTAAATGAACAGTATTCATACACGATACAGTAGATATATAGATGACTGCTATCCCATTGCTAAGTTAAACTATCCCATGGTATACACTGCAATGAGCTAAACGTTGCTAAACAAAGGCAAGGGGAATGGGGATTCCGAAAGGCTGGGTCGCTCGAAGCCTGGAAACGTCGCTCTGGCTGCCGGAAAAGTGCCACAAACTTTCCCTTGTAGATCTGGTACGTTTCTTCATCCAAAAACTGATGAGTGGCATGAGGGTTTTGGTCACAATGCAGACGTGCTTGATCACACCACACCGGGCACCTCAAGTACAAGTAGCACATGGCAAAATAGCCATGGATCTTTGCACAATAACAACAAGTTCAATAACCAGCTTTTGAATGCTTTTGATGGGCGCTTGGAGAACCTACTGCAAATGCCATTGATTGATCTTGGGGTGTGGCCTACTTCCTCCCGCCCAACCGTCGGGCTTTTTTCTTTACCGAACACCATGGCGTATCAGGAGGTCTCATCTGGCGAATCCTCTGGTTGTCTGGGATATGTCCATCCACTATCATCCACCCTTGTGAGAGAGGTGCTCTCCACAGGTGAGAATGCCCAAACCCTCATCCTCTTGCATCATCCTCGAGGATCAGCTGGGCTTTGCTGCTTTGAAACATGTTATTTTATGTTATTTCATTAGGAACTCTTTCGCTGGGCTGATCACCCTGCCCTTTCCTTTGAAAACCTCTGGTTTTCTTGTGTATTCTTATGTGTTCTTTTTCCCTATGAGTACAAGTGTGTTTTCTGCAACAGGTGTTCCACATTTCCACCAAGGTATGGGCCAAAAGCTAGCACTGTCAACCTTTCCAACGCATGGGTTGCACCAAAATACGGCTTTTGATTGTGGGAAGAATACAAAAGATACAACAAGAAACAAGGAACTAGCTAAAATCCGTTCTAGAAGTTCTTAGATTATCTCATTTTTCCTTTGGTATCATTTGATTTCCTGTAGTTTCCTCCAGTTTCCTTTGGTTTGGGGCTGGGTGGATTCTATGGTTTTCCTTTGGTTTCCTTTGTTTTCCTTCGGTTTCCAGGGGGAAACAAAGGAACAACAAGCCCAAGGAAAAGACAAACTATCCAAGGAAAGTCTAATGGAGGCTTTAAGCCCATAGAGCAAAAAATCATGCCTGTTACTAAGGAGGCTGCCACCTTCCTACTTTGACGGACCTGAGTCATGGAAATGCTCATCGCCGCCATGATCTCAGTTTAGCCTTGACTTGAGGCCGCTTGAGGCCTGCATGATCACAAAGAAACTAGAACTTGTTTTTTTTGTTTTTTTTGTGTCAAGGTTTCATATCTATTTCATTAATTGATTCCAGATAGTTGTATTAAACGTACTGTGTGGGTGTATGTATGTCTGTGTGTGCATATACATTTATATACATATACAATCTGCATGTACCCAGGACCATACAACGCCTATGTATCGCGGTGGCATCCAAGGCCCAAGCTTCCCAGAAGAATGTTGAGATGTTGGGAGGTATCAGTCACAGCGTCAACATTATCCCCAAATGCGTTCTTATTTAGAAAAAATGAATGAATGGCAAATCTGGTTGGTGGTTTTAACCATCTTGAAACATATATAGTCAATGGAAAGGATTATCCCATATATTATGGAAAATAAAAAATGTTCCAAACCACCATTCAGATATGTTCGTTTTGGCCTATGTTTCCTCAATGTTGGCACACATGAATGGCATGTAGAGCAGGGTCTAACTTCCAGCTGGCTGACATTGCCCGAGAACCAACTTCGAAGCATTTGCTAAACATTTCGTCGTTGATACCTTGGATTGCCAGAAAACAATATCAACAGCCGCGGGTGTCGCTAATGATGATCCTTTCAGCATACTCTGATGACATGTAACCACTCACATGTGCTTGAAAAACTGGGGACTGGACTACCAAATAACGACAAATCATGTAAAATTCCCCTGCAACATTGATCAAATCCAAGCTCAACCACAACAATAAACAAAGCAAAACGCGACCAGTGGCTAAATGCCTGCCAAATAGTCATCTAGATTCCACGCAATCCCGGTTCAAAAAAAAACATGTTCATCCCAAAGCCTGCAGCGACCTGTGAGGAACCCTCGA